TATATATATTTTAATGGGCTAATTGAGTTTAGCCACGATAACGTCCAGCTCTTTTGAAATATAATCAGAATGTTGTCAAAGCCTTCTCAAGAGATGGAAAAAGAGAGAGGCGACAACTTTTTAAGTTTCAACAATGTACAGTAGATGTTGGGTTAGTTTTAACTCCGAACACTCCCGTGTTTATGGAGGTTCTCAGTCATCCAGGTCGTGGTTGTCCCAAAGATGCTTTTTTCAAAAGAGAACTGGACTTTCTGATTTTTCTTTGAAGACCTTTTGCTTCTCATCCAAGAAGCTTCTTCAGCTCTGACTGGATGGTGGGGAATGGAAGGATTTATATTCCTTGCAGACAGCTGGTTATTTGCATCCTTTTAGAGAGTCGTTGAGGCCACTTAGAGTTTTCTCTGCATCCTCAGGGTCACCTGAGTAGTGTAAACAGTTCCTGTTGTCTACCATTTTTTCTGGAAATCCTTTCATAAGCTCACACCATTTGAAGGTTGTTCATCCCAAATTGCAGAGCTAAAACATCTGTAGAGATTCTCAGTCATGAAGACTTTCTTGGATGAGAAGTGAAATGTCTTCAACTGAAGACATTTGTTGAAGAAAGTCCAGTTGCCTCTTGAAACAAGGTGGGGGGGGAAGCACTTTGGGAACAGCCTCGTGTTTGTTAGGGCTAAACTTACCTCTCTAGGTTAGCCCGGAAGGGGGAAGAGGAATGAGAGGACTAGCAGAAGGTGAAATGCCTTTTCATGCTGCATGAAGAGAATGGAGTTGAAGTCCTAGAGTTCAAGGGACTTTTCCCAAAAGGCAAGTGGGCTTCCTTTTTTCCCCTTTGGAAATGTTTTCCTTCTCAACTGAAAAGCAGAACTGAAGAAGCTTCTTGGATGAGAAGCGAAGCATTTTCAAAGGGGGGGAAAAACCAATAAAAGGGAAGGGGAAGGAAAGGGAGAAGGAGAGGGAAAAAGAGAAGGAGGGGGAGGAGAAGGAGGGGGAGAAGGGGAAGGAAGGGAAGATGAAGGGGAAAGACAAGGAGAGGGAGGGGAAGGAGTGGGAGAGGGAGGGGAAGGAGTGGAGGAGAAGAAAAAAGAGGGGGAGGGGAGGAGAAGAAGGGGGAGCAGAAGGAGAGGGAGGGGAAGGAGAAGGGAAAGGAGAAGAAGAGGAAGAGGGAAGGAAGAGGAGGAGGAAAGAGAAGGGGGAGGAGAGGGAAGGAGAGGTAGAGGAAGGAGAAGGAGGTGGAGGAGAAAGGGAATGGGAAGGAGAGGGAGAGGAAGGAGAAAGAGAAGAAGAGGAACCAGGAAAGGAAGAGGAGGAGGAAGAAGAGGGAAGGGAAGTAGAGAGAGAAGAAGGAGAAGGAGGGGAAAAGAAGAAGAGGAAGAGGAAGGGGAAAGGAAGAGGAGGAGGAAGGAGAGGGAGGAGAAGGAGGGGAAGGAGGGGGGAGAAGAAGAGGAAGGGGGAAAGGAAAAGGAGGAGGAAGTAGAGGGAGTGGAAGGAGAAGGAGGTTGAGGAGACGGGGAAGGGCAAGGAGAAGGAGAGGGGAAGGAGAAGGAGAAGAGGAGGAACCGAGAAAGGAAGAGGAGGAGGAAGGAGAGGGAGGGGAAGGGGAGTCCAGTTGCCCTGTGGAAAAAGCACCTTTGGTGGAATGATCAGGGACGGGAGGCTAATTTAAAGCAAGACAAGACTCAAGAAAGAGGGACAAGAAGTTGGATGGTGTTTGGCTGACTCAACCTCATTCTACACATAGACACCCAAGGATGTTCTGATGTGGTTTTGTTGCAGGTTTATCCCCGAGCCTTGGTCCCCTTGCAGTGCCTCTTGCGGCCACGGTTCTCAGATGCGTGATGTCAAGTGCCGCATTTATCTTACGTTTACTCAGGCTGAGGTGGAGCTGCCTGACGAGGAGTGTGGCGAAGCCAAACCATTGACCGAGCGGAGTTGCCACCTGGAACCGTGCGAGGCAGATCCGGTCCCGTACACCTTACCTTTCCCACCCTCTGAAGAGGCTGGTAATGTTTTTTATGACTGGGAATACATCGGCTTCACTCCCTGCTCAGCTACGTGCCTTGGAGGTATTACAGGTTTATATTTGGGGTGTTTTGTGCTCATCAAAGTTTTGGTTTTTTCCACCTCAAGCACAAAGTCCAGAAGTGGTTTCCAAGTAGAAATGAAAGTATTTGTATTTTTTTCCTTTGATCAAAGCAGTCAAAGTAACCATCTCTAAATTACTCCTTGACTTATGACCATAATGGAGCCCCAAATTTCTGTTGCTAAGTGAAACTTTTGTCAAGAGAGTTTCCCCGTTCTACGACCTTTTTTGCCACGGTTGTTAAATTAGTCAAATCGTCATTCAGCGACTCCGGCTTCCCCATTGGCTTTGCTTGTCAGAAGGTCGCAAAAGGAGGTTACGTAACCCCGGGACATTGCAACCGTCATTAATATGAGTCCATTGCCAAGCATCTGGACTTTGATCACATGACCATGGGGGAAGCTGCAACGTGTGAAAATAAGTTGCTCAACTCGCGAAGCATCCCTGGCCTGCTCTTGAATTGCCATAGGAAAGAGGGATGGGAAACTGATGAAACGGCATCGCAGCACAAAACAGATGCACATTCCAGACTTATCTCTCTCAAGGCTGTTTCCCAGGGTTACCTACAGCGGCTGGAGGGGAGTGATCTCTACAATGTGCAAAATTGCCCTGTTGGAGAATGTGCTTGTTGACACACCATGGGGGGGAGGTGGTAAAAAGGCTCATGATTGGGGCCGTAAATTATGTGGGGTCAAAGCTGGCTTCACTTTGGAACAACATGAAACTCCTAATGAATAACTGGATTTCTTTTGAAGTTTGGCTCGAGGCTCATGATTTAATTAGGGCATCTGTCGGAACCCTGACATCGCTTTTTTCAGTGCAGTTTTGTAACTTTGAACCGCCACTAAATGAACTGTTGTATGTCGAGGATTACCTGTGGTTGATCCCTCTCAACTGATGGTTTAGTGAAAAACAAGGTGTGCCTGCCAAATGATTTTCCCCAGATCACACCGTGGATTTTTCCCCCCTTTGTATGCCATGGATACTATCCAGTTATTTGACTTGATGTAATTTTGAATGATTGGAGATAGATGGGAACCACTTAAAATGGTCTGATAAAAGTCACCTATCACTTATAGCCAGGGATAAAAATTCTTACCTGGTTTGTAACTAATTAGTGGAAGTCATCAACTTTACACTGCTACCTTCTACAGGAGAGGTTTTCCAGTCCTGCAATTTCAGTAGAATCAGCTAAAAATAAAAAACGGGCCTCTTTTGGAATGACGGGGTGTTGAAAAAAACCCCTCCTGATGAATTAGGAGAAGAGATATTTATGGCAATAATTGTCTAGCTGTCCACCAGGTGAAAACAAACAGCTTAGAATGAAATTTGAGGTTTTCAGCACCCCCAACTTTACCGATAATGAGGCTCTTCGTTTTTATTAGGAAACTGCAGTGAAAGGACAAAGGTGCTTGAAACCACGCAAATCTTTTAACAAACGGAGAAATATTAAGCTGTCTTGAGATCAGATTTGTAGCCCCTGTAAAATCGCGAGGGGGAAATGCATCTGAAAGGAAGGAAACAGCTCCCTTGAACTGTGACCGGTTTCAATCTTGCGTATCGCATTATGTGCGTTGCTCCAGCGCCATCTAATACCACTGAAAGCTCAGTCGCGGGGGGTGACTCCGCTGTATTTGGTTTAGTCCGGACGGTCGGGGGGGCGTTTTACAGTCCCGTTTATGCATGAGTCTTCCGGGGCATCTTTGCACCCCATAAAACGGGCGCTGCCCGGCCTTTGCTAGACGGATTTGCAACACAAGGAGATGAAGCGTGACGGTGTTCTGCATTTTGGGATTTTGAGCGTTGCGATTTAGGGCGGTGTCCCAGTTTTCAGCAGCTGATCCATCACTTAAAATGTCCTTCTTCTCCAGGGGTAAAGTAGAAAATGAGGCTGTGAAATAGGAAGACCATAAGAGCTACCTGTAAGACTTGCTGCCACTTAAAGCTCTTAAGTAGAAATGATCCTTGGCTCCGTTTGTTGAGAAAAGTATCATTTTATTAGAAATCAAGGGTGTTGAATCAGAGTAAGAGCTGGAAGGGACCTTGGAGGTCTTCTAGTCCAACCCCCTGATCAGGCAGGAAACCCTATACTATTTGAGACAGGGGACTCTACATTCTCTTCTCAAAAGCCTCCAGTGATCAGAGGTGGGTTCCTACCATTCGCACCTATTCGGTAGAACCGGTTCATCAAATCTACCGAACCAGTTAGAAGAGGTTCCACTAATGGACCCGGAAAGCAGGCCACACCTATAGAATAGGTTCCAAAGATTTTTGAAACCCACCACTCTCTCTCTCTCTCTCTCTCTCTCTCACACACACACACACACACACACGCACTCACTCACACTCACACAGAGAGAGAAAGAGAAAGAAAGGAAGAAAGAAAGAAAGAAAGAAAGAAAGAAAGAAAGAAAAAAAGAAAAAGTGAGAGAGATGAAAGAAAAAAATGAAAAAGGGACAGAGAGACAAAAAGAAGGAGAGAGAGAGAGAGAGAGAGAGAGAGAGAGA